AATCGGACGAATACCGATGATGTTAGCCATCGCTCACTTTGACAGTGGGAGAATTCTGGATGGGAAAGAGACTGGAAGGAGAAGGCACGATGAATGAAAGTCAGATTTGCTTATCTGGTCATTCAATTACGTTTTCAGAAACTAGCGTAAGTGACATGAACTTACACGGCACTGTGCATTTCATACTTTTCTTCACATAGACATTTGTAAATGGCGCATAAAGCAGATGGGTAAGCTTGATGCGTTGATAAAGCTCGCATATAAACATTTCCCGATCACCAACCAATCCGTAGACCACTCCTTTACAGCGCTGAAAGCAAAAACAAAAGTAATAGGTAATAAAATTTTCTGAGCTCTTTCTGAAGTATTAACTGTTTCTGAGATAATATATTTTTTAACTCAATTTCCCGATCTTGGAATGCTCATCCTCATTTTGCACAGGCATCATCTCACTGGTAGTTCACAATGGCTAATTTCTTCCTCGAGAGTATCATACATCAAATAAGACGAAACTGAATACGGCTTAGGATCGAAAAACCTGGTTCAGCTTGCACTCAAAATGTGAGAACACCACAATAACATCATTCTTTTTTACCGATTCCCATACGGATTGTCCGGACAGTTTTGATACTCTATGAAATTCAGCTGTATTAAACAAGGTAAAAAGTGATAGTGAAATTTAAAATTCATCAGGGTATTTGAAAATAATCGGCCAACGCACAGGCTGCCCGTGCGAAGATGTGTTTTTTGCATAGTTTCCCACTGTTTTTGTCGCCACCGGCATCGGTTTTTTTGGCAAATGTTTCTAGCTAAACAAATTAAGACTGGCCGCCAGAACTGGCAGGAAACGCCCCTTAAAATTTCAGCTTTCTAGCTTTCCTGGCTTCTGAGTTAGCAATTTACTAGAAAAAACTTTCATGGCCCGCACGCGGGTACGAAGCATGCCCGATGTCTGAGTTTGAGCTCGTTGAGACTTACTTGGACGGGGAACATCTTAAAATTACAGTCTTTTAGCTTAACAGGTTCTCGAGTTATGAACTTACCCGAAGAAAATTTTGATGAACCCGTGCGAAGGTACCATGCATGACCGAGAGCTGTGTTTGAGCTCATGGAGACTAATGTGGACGGCGAACATCCTCTTAAAATTTCAGCTTTCTAGCTTTTCTGGTTCGCAAATTACAAACTTACCAGTTTACCCGAGGAAAATTTTGGCGGACTCTTACGTGAGTACCACGCTGGTAAGACCGCTCATTTCGCAGATGGTGGCCCATACGTGCATGTAGATTATGACCCGCAAAGTTTCAGTCCTGTAGCTCTTGCCGGTCTCGAGATGAAAAATGGTACAGACGAACACACAGACACACATATAGACAGACAACCCCGCGTCAATATACGTTTTCTGCATTGCATAGCTGCAAAAAACGCATAAAAAGGACAGAATGAAGTTGATTTTAACTACCATTAAAACCTTTTTAAGTGCTTCCTTTTTAAGTACTACTCTATCTTTGAACTTGTAATCTTTACGGGAGATGAAGTGAAATGGATGTGAGTGATCATTATAGTTTGACCGTCAAGTGAAGCAGCATTGCTCATAATAACTAGAAAAGCTGCCAGTTGCATAGATGAGCAGCCAGACTGCGGACTTTTCAGAAAAAAATTGTATCTAGAGATGAAATTTTGAACTTCTTACCCCTTTTTCTCGGAGGCAGGCAGCCAAGCATTCCACCTCAGTGGTATTATAAAAATCTGAAGTAGCATACGGCCTCAGCAGATTGGTCTGAGCACGATCTGTGTACACAGCAAAGCAACTGCATAGGTAGCATGGTGTTGCAAAATGTCCTGAAAAATCAGCCACAAGTTTCCAGCGGCCACTGAGGAGTAACAAAAGCTAGGAAACTGATATGACCTCTTGAACATATTCGAGGAGTCCGGAAATTCAAAATCTTGGCTACTTCAGAATTTAACCCTACAATTTTTTACAGTAAAACTGACTTCCGAACTTATGAGAGATTGATTTACTGCCTGCCATCAGTTTGCTTGTAAGCAACCCGCGAAGAAGGGAACCATCAACAGCTTTGACTTGTGTATGGTTGTTGTTAACATTTGTTGCCTCAGAATATTTTCGATTGCCTCCGCCTCTCGCAGAGAGTGGACACCGAAGGAGATTTGACTTTTGACCAGAATATGAATTTATTTGTGATACGAAAAAATTAAGATATACTTTGTCCGGAAATACCATTTTGAATATAAAGGACCAGAAGCAACACCCAGTAACAGCGTCCCATCAATATTTAGTTTCCATATTTGCAAGGATTTCCGCTGAAAAATTTTATTGATTTTTTGAGGCAAAATGGTCGGTAGCAAGAATGTCAGAGCTGTTGGACTATCAGTGTGAGTATTTCCTATTACTGATGTTACTTGTCGAGAGCAGTTGTGTCAGGTCGTTTGCTGTAGTTAAAACGACCAGTGCTGCAATGAAAACAGAACTCCTTTGAATTTTGGACACAGTCATCTACGAGGTGCTCATAAACAGTAAATTTTCTGCATATTTCATACATCCTTCATCTCTAGTCAGTGAGGTGTCACGCACTGCTCTAGATGTAACAACTTTCGGAACTGCCCATTTAACGTGGTCTAGAAGTGGAAGCGCTAGCGACAAGACAGTGTTGCACCACAAACACCAGCGCCATTTTAAAACGTCGGAAATCTTGCCAAATGTTCCAGTTTGCATCCACTGATTGTTTAGTATAAGTCACTTTTTATGCGTTTTTTGCAGCTATGCAATGCTGGAAACGCATATTGACGAAAGATTGCCCGTACGTGTGTGTGTGTGTGTGTGTGTGTGTGTGTGTGTGCGTCTGTGTGTGTGTGTGTCTGTATGTGTGCCTGTGTATGCGCTGGCCTCTGTACCGGCTTTTCATCTCGAAACCTACAAAAGCTACAGAGCTGAAACTTTGAGAACTTAATCTACATGCATGTACGAACCTTCATCCCCAAAAAGGGCGGTCTTACCCGCATGGTGCCCACGTACGGGCCTGTGAAAATTTTTTTCCAGTAATTTGCTAACTCAGAAGCCAGAAAAGCTAGAAAGCTGAAATTTTAATGGGGTGTTTCCTGACAATTCTGGCGGCCAGTCTTAATTTGTTTAGGTTGAAGCATTTGTCGGAAAAACTGGTGCCAGTAGCAAAAAAAACTGCAGGGAACTATGCAAAAAACGCATCATTGCACGGGCAGCCCGTGCGTAGGACAATTATCTAAATGCTGCCAAATGGCCATTTGCTTTCTCGCCAGTACCACTCACTAATATGTGATGCCCATTAGCTGTCAGCAAGCTTATTCATCGTGAACGCTATGATATCCCTGTACG